ACAGAAGAAATACTTTGTAAAATTATGTTTTGAAAACTAACCAAGTGTTTACTTTCAACTTTAAAGGTACATTCACATCTATAAAATATTTGAGGAAAATCACGTGACCCTTAAAAATAAATAAGAAATATATCGTCACCTCAAATACAAAATGGCGTAACAACACTTTTAAAAATTTTACTGGAGAGACAAAAAGCTTAATAAAATGAAAGCAAGTATTGTATCCCAGCATTGATAAACACATTTGAATATAACTGTACCGCCAGACATTGTCTATTATGATGTTTTTTGGGACTTTCTGACTTGTGGAAATTACTAATTTCATGTTACACCCTTTTGAGATTTTGCATGTTGAGATAAACAAATCGTGCGTCCTGAATACAGAAGAATATAAAGACTTAAAGGTATAAAAAATTTAATTCTGAATACAGGCAAATCCCGGTATAACGAATGATATAATGTCAGGCCCTTTCGTTAAATCGAAATATTCGTTATATCGGAATTATTTTTTCTAGTAAATTTCTTTATTTAATGGACAAAAAACCATTCAAATTAATGTATGAAATTATTACTTCAAATTTTATTTCAAACAACTATTAACAACGCACACGTATTTCCATTTTGAACATCTGAACGGATTGAAAAATTTGTGAAGGATTTTAGTTTTCTAACAACTTTAATTTCCTGCTATTTCCTTAACCTTATTTTATTATCTAGAAGATAGAATTAAACTCTTTTGAGGAAAAACTGAACTTGAGTCTCATGCTGATAATTTCAAAACCCTGGAATATTGCGCCATATTGGGGTATCGAAATAATTTATTTTGCTGTAAAATTGTATTATTTCAATGTATCCCTTTTAAACACTATTCAAGCTAAATTTACCATTAAATTCACATCTAACAGATTTATGTTTTTTAGATTATAATGTAAGGAATTTTGATAGATAGGTCAGATATGTAGTATAACTAAAATTAGGAATATGGGCGACTTCTTTCATTTTACATTATATTCTAATTGCTCAATCAAGTTTTTGATATTAACAATATAAATATAAAATCAAAAGCTGGATTTTTTAGGTATTTTTTCTTTTTATTCGTTATATCGAGTATAAAATTTCTTAAACGTTCGCTATATAAGGTAGTTATTGTTAAAAATTTGGCTGTTCGTTATATCAGATTTTCGTTAAAGTGAGATTCGTTATACCGGGATTTGCCTGTACTTTATAACTTTAATGAATTTTTATTTATTATTTGCTATTAATCACAAATCAAAGTCAATGTGTTATAAAACTATGTATGAATATGAAAGTCAAGGATTAAACGTTATAAAAAAACGCCAAGACATGTTTTATTTAAGGTTAATAAAAGTTTAAACTCAGTATGACTGATTCTAAAATCCTTGACGTGCACATGGTTGTGGAACTAACAAAAGAGGAATTTATAACGTTGTATTACATATTTCATATTTAAAATTGTTTTACGAATGGAACGAGTATTGCGGGCAAACGTTTTGTTTGTTTGTATTTATTTTTTGCGTTTCATTTGATTTTTATAATAAACTTATACGCTCACATGTGGGTTCAGTAGACCTGAGCTTAAAAATATAAAAAGATTTTTTTATGAACTATCAACGTATCGAAACAAAACACAGAGAGCTACTTGATGCCTGCTTTAAATATAAAATGAACGTTTTTTTCATGGGCAAATCTACTACTATATGGCGTTCCTGTGTAAAACATACCTATTTACAGTAGGGTGGAACAGTTTGTATGGAGGCCAAAAAAGGAATAGATGTTCCGCAATAAAATTAAAAAAAGAATAATATAAATTATTAGTGTTATATGATAGGCCTTTGTATGACGCATTCAAAAAAATGTATTTTATCCAGCTCACCAAATCTTGACGCCAGGACAAACATTTGGAAAAACGGTTTGTTATAAAATAAATAAAATATTCATTTTAGTTGGGAACTTCCGCTACTCTTGTTTCGGGCCACCCTAATTTGTCAATAAACATTTATTTTTATTTCATACTTATACATATTTTCATTTATTTATGAATATGTATATATAAATAAATACGTATTATTAATGTGACTGTCTTTCTGCACACTAAATATTTTCTATCGACATGTCTGAAATCATACAGAATTCTATAAATCTAAAAAATTTCCAATTTTCTCCTGGCAAAGAAATAAAAATAACATTTCCCAGCGATTTGTTTTTGAATACTTGGATAATACTTTCCGAATAAATTAAGATAAAGGTTTAAATAATAACTTTCGGTTTTGTGATACCATCTTTGGGATATAAAAATCTAAAAAACTATTACATGTCAAAGGTGTCCTACTTTGAGCACCTACTGTGCCGCCCCTGGAGCCGTTTAGACGTTCGGTGGGTGTAAAGTATAAGTTTGAACTTGTAAAAGAAATATAAACAATACAATCAAATGTAAAGTAATACGCAATAAGCCGTATAAACGTCATGCAGCCAGCTTACGGCTAAAGCTGCCATATAAATCGACTTAAAAAAAAAACAGTTGAAACAACAAAATTGTTTAAAACAACAAAAGAATCATATACATATGTATATAAATACATGTATACAAACATATGAGACTTTTTCACATCATAAATGTAATCACCAGGGAAACCAAAATATGCAAATGCATGTTTTTCCCCATTACAGAACAATTTAAGAATTTTGGCATCGATTTGTTAGCGCCTATTTTACCCATAAGAGCATAATTCTGCATGATTTGACTTTAGTAGCATATTTGAGACATATTTTCGAGTTCTAATATCATATTTTAGTCTTTTAGTACATCCATACATATTTTGATGTTTAGAGATTTATTTTTTAATTTTTGTATATTTAAATTTTTGCAAAACATGATTTTTTTTTTATTTTATTTTTAAAATTGATTGCCTGGTTTACAATTCTGAAAAAAAAAATCGTTTGTATAGTTGGAAAACGACATATAGTCACATTCATTGCAATAGTTTTTTATTCGATAAAGTATTACATTTTAAATAGGGACATCGGTGTTGTCATAGAATGCAGTAATTACATTCTATGACAACACCGATTAAAATGAAGAAGCTATGAATACAATTGGAAGAAATATGAATGTCAAACATTGTCGTTGGAAATTTGTGTTTTTGGAGAACAAATGCGGATTAATATTACATATTGGTTATTTGAACGTAAAACTAAATCCTATGATTTAACTATGATATGAATCAATTATCAAAAAGAAGTCTTGTAGAATTAATATTGATTATATTTTCTGTCTTTTTAGTATTAAGAAGTATTACAAATGTTATTTTTAGAGCATATTTTCAGTTCTTTACTGCATATTGAATGCGCTTAAAACACTTTTTTGAGCATATTTTTAGTTTCCCTGGTAATCACAGACACACATACACAAAATAAAAAAAACTAATGGTGTAGCACGAAGGAAGTTAAATAAATAAAAAAGCGAACAAAAATATGTATTTAACAATCTTGTTCCTGATTACCGCAAAACCAGAGTATTGCGCGAAATCATTACACATTACATTACATGATTTATTAGAAATAACAAGTATTCTATATTCGGATGTGCCGAATCTTATATATCCTTCACCATAATGTGTTAAACAAAAATAGTCAGTACGTATTTTATTACAAAAATCAAAATAAAAAAGTCCCCTTTTACAGATTTGAATATTTGATTTTATGCTTCTAGATTCAATATTATTAAAAGTGCATTTTGAAGAACAAAAAGTCCCTTTTTATAAGTTCCCATTTACTACGGATTCTACATGATTAATTTATGTTTCTAGGTTGAATATTATAGAATTTTCAAAAAGTACCTTTTGAAGAACGAAAAAGTACCAAAAAGTCCCATTTTATAGGTTATCATTTACTCCGCGACATACATGTTTAATTTCATGTTTTAAGCTAATAACAACACACAATTTTATCTGTAACGTGTTGCTCTTGCTTTGTTTTTAAAAACAAGCAAGTACAAGATCAAAATTTACCATATGATTATGTTTGTTGTTGTTGTTTGTTTATTATTTTTATATCTGCATGCACTAAAAATCAAAATTTTTGACATTTTCAGAGATTGTCTCAGATTTTTGCTCATATCTCCGTTATTTATGGACTGATTTTGTTGATTTTAAATAGCATTCTTCTCGAACGTATTTCTGATAGAATTATGGAAGATTCGGATCTTTCAGATATCTGGGGTCTTCTGAAAACTAATATCAACATACACACAGACTAGACTGTAGACTTGACAATATATTGGTCGATAGATTAGTCACCAAATAGGTATCATCGAATATGAGTTACGAAACCTGGTCGAAAAAATTAAAACTGGCCAACTTTTTATAAGTAAAAAAAATATATTTTGAATTTTCTATAATTTTTAAAGATATTTTTATACCCACCATAAAAAAAGATGGGGGTATATTGATTTTGTAACACATCGAAATATTGATCATAGACCCACAAACGCTAAGACGATCTAGCCATGTCTGTCCATCCGTCCGTCCGTCTGTTGAAAGCACGATAGAGCCCGAACGGAAAGATCTAGAGAGTTGAAATCTTCCACAAATATTTCTTATAGGTACGGTTTATTTGGTATTGGGCAATATCGGACCCCATACGAAAAACAGCTTTAGCAGTCATTACTGTTTTAAAAATGCGAGTATAGCGATGAAATTCGACATAAATAAGTTTCATATCAGCCAAATTTTATGAGGTTCAGTCCGTAAATGACCCTACCCCTCATATACATATGGTCCCCTCCAAAAACTGACTTTAACACCCACTGCTGGTTCAAAAATACCTCGAAAATACCTAGTCGAATATAATACTCTTACTAGTTATATTTTACTATTTCATGTAAATTAAAAATTGTGGTTTTATTAGCGCAACATTGTTTAAAAACTGAAATTTAAAAAGTAATATAGCTTTATATGTATTATAATAAAATAAGCACTCACCTTATTTAACACTTTCCTTTCCGCAAACGACTTCAATTACTCTTTTTTTACAAATTTTGAATTTACTTTTACAAATATTTTTTTTTCTTATTTACAAAATTTTCATTTGCTTTTTCTATTTTCTATTTTTTCTCAACTTTTTAATAGCTCTTTTATCTATTTTAACGACTTTTTTATTTTCTCATTATTTAAGCTTTTTTCTTTAAAAGATCAACATTTTATTTCCTTCAATACATTTGAAAGCTTATTGCTTATTAAATTTTCTTTTATTTCCTCATTTCTTTACGAAACTTATAAAAGCTTTTTTCCTCTTCTTTGCTTCACACAAACCTTTATTCACTTTCCCTTATACCAGCTGTTGCACTTAACACATTCCCCGCACATCCATGCTTATTTATTAACAACGATTGGCCGAACTAAAGCAACACACCGAACGTCACAACATTTACATATATTTTTCCAACCAATTTTCCCACACTATGTACACTAACTTACAGGTCATTTTTTAACATTATTTTTACACAGAAATATTAACAAACATTTAAATTTCATATTTATGCAATATTAACAATTAATTTTCATTTTACCGCATATATTTATTTATTAAACGACAACTAATCACCAAACAACCGAACACTTGCGAAATTTCTAGAAAACTAAAAGAGAAAAATGCAAGTAATGATTCTATTGCTATTGTTGTTGTTGATATTGCTGTCATTATTTGATTTGTACTAAAATGTTTGCATATACATACATAATGTGTTTGTTGTAATTTTATTGTGTTGGGTGGTGGGGAAGAATATTTTAGAATGCGTAAATAGATTAGGAACACAATGTTAAGTAGGAGAGTTTTTAGTAATGGTCAAACGCAATACATTAGTAAAATGTTATTTAGAAAAAGAATAAAGCCAGGGTTGGGGTTTTGTTTTAAAGTAGTTTCTTAAGTGAGTATGAATTGCCTGGAATTTTGTTACGGAAAATTAAAAATAATAATAATAATATTTACACTGTACGTAAAATTTCAACTTTCAAAAAGACACAGAAAAACGCCAAAACACGTGAACTTAATTTTCAGTCGTAGAATCTAGTGGCATACTCCATTTTGAAAAGTTGGATCAAAATCGGGGCATATTGCATTTTAAAGTTTAAACTGTTTCTGAGGTGATTTTTGATTATTTAAATTAAAAAAAAAAAAAACAAAACTCTCACGCATAGAGAACTAAACAAATACATGAAACTAGAGTCCATTTGAATTATTATGCATATACCTATATTTAGTTTTTCATAATTAGTTCGCATGTCTATGAGTGAAAACTTTTTTCAAAATTTAAAAAAAAGAAAAAATCACCTCAAACTTTAAAACGTAATATCTCCCGATTTTGACCCAAATTTTCAAAACGGGGTATGCCACTAGATTCTACGACCCAAAATTAAGTTTAGGTGTCTCGGCGCTTTTCTGTGTCTGTGCCCAATTTTTGTCCTAAATAATCATATTGACACTAAAGTGGCTCCGACAAAATTTGAGGATCTAAACACTCGTTACGCGATATAATGCTTTTTATAGACCTAGATGAGTAGATCATTTTACCATTTTTAGAATCTTCAATATACCCTAAAAATCGGAAGATGTTGTAAAAAAACGCTTTTTGTTGACTAGACAGACCAAAAAAATTATATCTCAAAATTTTCTTAGCCGATTTAATATTTTTCAACGGTTTTGGAAAGAGTTTCACTTATCCTTTTTAAAAAGTATACACACTTTTATATTTTTTACGGAAATGTGTAAAATATTTAAATCTGAATACAAATTTTTATATATTTTTTTTAATTTTTTTACAATTAAAGATAATTTTTGGCCCACACTTTATTTGAAAACATATTTTTTAAATATTTTTTTATTTTAGCCCAGAGATAGAATTTTTTTCGTAAAATCAAAAATTTACCCAATCTCTCTTTCCTGAAGTAAAATATCAACTTAAGATATGCAACACAATAATAAGAAATGAGAGATTTGGTAAATTTTTGATTTTACGAAAAAAATTCTATTTCTGTCAGTTTAAGTTTAAAACATAAGTTTTTACAACTCGATTTTTCATTAAAATAAATTATGTAATTTTATAATTCTGACTTTTTTTCAAATTAATTCATACTACATACATAGAAAAAATTATCAGTAGTTTATTTTCAATTAACATGTTTTTCTCTTTTTTTAGTTTTAATTTAAGCAATTTTTTATTTGTCTTAATTATCTCGTTGTTTAAAACCTAAGTTTACAAATTTGATTAAATTTTTAATTGATTCAATTAGTTTTTTAATTGATTGAAAAAAATTTTCTGGCCAACTTTTCTATTTTAGTTTTTTTTTTTAATATTTTATTTTGAATTCTTATGCTAACAATGTTTATAATTCTTAAATAGTCAATACGATTTTAGGCATATAATATTCAAGTTTCCTGATAATTTATAAAACACTTTATATGTTCAAATTTGATAATAAAGTGATATTTTTTGTAAATGCTCAGCGCATTGTTAAAGGTCAAGCATTCCTTTAACATTGTGAGTAATCAGTTAATAATTTGATTGTTTTAATCATCAACTTAATTGGTTTTTAATACATTTTCTACCAAACAAACTAATTCATTTGATTAATAAATTAATAAAAATTAGATTTTATTTTTATTAAATATTTAATTTATACAATTAATGAATTAATCAATTTTAAATTTTGTCTCAATTATTGATATTAATTGTTCTGATTAATTTGTTATTTGGAAAAAAAAAGTATTTTTTTAATTTTTTTACAAATTTGATAATTGATATCATCATTATGGTGATAGGTGCAAAACTTGCTTGATACAATTATTTTGATAATTGAAACATATTTTTAGTTTTTTCTGTATACATATTTGCATTCGTATTCGCCTTAATAAATATCACATACAAAACAATATCCTAACCCTGTCATTATTCCTTTATTAACATTTTACTAAATATTTCCGATTTGACATTCTCTAATAAATCTCCTTAATATCTTGCTCTTAATCTATTTACGCACTCTCTACAACAAAATGACAACAAACACATTGCATACATACATATTTAAATACAATTTAGTACAAATCAAATAATGACAGCAGCATCGACAACAACAATAGCAATAGAATCATTACATGCATTTTTTCTTTTAGTTTTCTAGAAATTTCGCAAGTGTTCGGTTGTTCGGTGATTAGTGGTCGTTTAGCTAATTAATAAATCCGATTAAAAGTTAATAAATTGTTAATATTTTTACACAAATATGAAATTCAAATGTTTGTTAATAATTCTGTGTGAAAATATTGTTAAAAAGTATCTTGTAAATTAGTAAAAATAGTGTGGCAAAACTGTTTGGAAAAATATAAAATGTTTGCAGCTCGGTGTGTTGCTTTAGTTTCAGCATTCGTTGTTAATAAGTGTGAGTTGGTGTGCGGGTAGGGTAGTGTGTTAAGTTCACTGGTTAGTTGGTTGGTTGGAAAGTTGAAAAAAAGTTGTTACTGAGAAAAGAAAAGCTTTTATAAGTTTTGTAAAGAAAAATGAAGAAGTAAAATAATTTCAAATAAGAAAAAGCTTTCAATTATAGTAAAGGAAATCAAGTGTAGATCTTTGTAAGAAAAAAAGCTAAGGAATTAAAAAAAGGTGGTGAAAATAAATAAAAAGCTTTGAAATAAAAGACAAAAAATAAAAATAAATAAAAAGCTAATTAAAAGATTGTGAAAAAGAGAAAATAAAATTGTTGGCGGAAAGGAAACAAGTGTTAAATAAGGTGAGTAATTTTTAAATTGAATTATATTTTAAAACATTTGAAAGGTTTTCAGGTTTATAAAGATTAATTCGAGAAAATTTTGTTCCAAATTAAAAGAAATTAACAGTCGAATAAATAGCAAAAAATTTTAATCAAAATAATCTTTAAAATGATATTCAAATGATGAAAATACATAATATCTCCTCACAAAATATGTAATAAAATGTTATTGAAAATTTATGAAAATTTGTAAAATAGATAAATTCCAATATTATAGTTTGAAACAAATAAAATTATGGAAATGCGAAAATTAAAAAAAAAAATCAATTAAATCAAAATGCGTTGCCAATAGTGAGCTTACCACGTTTGTTAACATTTGGACAATGTGCATAAAGTTTAGAATGCGACAACGAATTGTTGCAATCTTGACAAAGTTGCGCGGTCTAGATTACATGTTGTTGTTGTATGTATGTATATACTTGACAATGGCTGTTTTTGAAAAATTTTGTGTTAATTTGGTACCAGGCGTGTATATTTATTTTTCTCTCTGTGTGCCGTTATCGCTAAAATACCGATACCGAAATAAGCCAAAATACCGATAACGCTAAAGTAACAATACAGAAATAAGTTAAAATTCCGATAACGCTAAAATATTGTTACCGAAATAAGTCAAAATGTAAAAAAATAAAATTTCCAAAAAGTAAATAACCCAATAAACCAAAGAACGATATGATAGCGAAAACGGTATTGCTTTTAAAGGGCGATTATGATATCATATTTCATTATTTAAAACGATATTATTATAATATCGTTTTATATTATTTTGTTTCCAATAAAAAAATTAAGAAAATACAAACATTTGAAAAAAACTTCAAACATAAAAATAATTTCAATAAAAATTTTCGAACATAAGAAAACTAAAAAGGATATTAAAATAAAATCAACTAAATTATTGATAAATAGTCCAAATAAATACGCGAATTTCGTTCGATACTTCAGTTTTGTGGTAAGTTGACATGTATGCAATTTTGAAAAGTTTCAGGTATTTGCAAGACAATGCATAATGTGATGAAAAATATGATTACTTTAAAATATGTATTAATGTATGTATGTAAATATGTACAAATGAATGCAATCCTTCCCTTTTCAGGCTTTTTTATATGTATAATAGCGAAATATTAAGTTAAATAGCGTTTTAAATGAAATTTTAAGAATAAAAGAGCATACAGAAAAAAAACTGAAAAAGGCGATTTAACTATCATTATTTTTGGAAATTATGATAGCGAAAACGATATCATAATTTTATGGAAAAACGATATCATAAGGAAAGGTACCATTTAGTACGTAAATACTATCGTTCTCGATACGAGAACGACTATCACTTATGATATTTTTTATCACCTAAGTGATATCGTTTCGATATCGTTATAATATCGTTTGGTTTATTGGGAAACCTTTACTTAAATAATATTGTTAACTTCACTACAGATTAGAATATAGCCTAGATTATATACTAGACTATAGACTAAACTTTAGACTAGACTAAACTATGGAATAGACTATATAGATTAAAAAGTGAAAACCTATATCTCAAAATTAAAGAAATTCCGAATTAACCATCGGACATAGCCCTTTTCAAAAGTATATGTACATTGGTGTCTGGGTTAAAAATTGTTTGTGCCTGTAAAACTTTGTAATAGATTACTTATGTTGAGTTAATGTAAATGTGTTACTTTAAGGTACTGT